TCTTTGTGTTCTTAGTTATTAAATAGTTATCCGCGTTTCAGGTGCTTTTCCCTCATTTATGTTTACCATTAAAGTAATATATATATATATATATATATATATATATATATAATATATATATAAATGAAATAAAGTATTTAACGTATCAAAATTTTAAAAAATGCTTGTGAAGTTCTTTGATAGAACTTAAGCTTATTCAGATTAGGAATCAATTTAACGACTAACTCAATTATTCTAATTTAATCCACAAGTATTATTGGTCGAATCAATAGAAAATGTTAAGGTCAAACATACCCAAATCTTTTTTCAATCCCAATTACATTATTATATTTTTGGAAAACATGGGGTGTAGGAAGCAATTGGCAGCGTCAAGTATTAATCCACATAGTACCAATTTGTTGAGAGATGGAAGTCCATTAATGTTGGACATATCTCCAAGTTATCAGTTGAATATCCTATCTATAATTATATAGAAAAAGATACACCTCTTTCATATTTTCTTTTTTTCCAATCTTACTTTCATAATTATTATTTTTTAAGTTTAAAGAACTATTTATAATAAAAAAAATTATTTTTCGATTTTATCATTTTGATGATTATTCTTTTGAATTTAAATAAGTACTCACAAAAATTATTTACTCTTTTATCATCTTAATAACTATTCCTATATTGATATTATCATCGTAAGTAGTGGCAGTGTTTTTCAGAGTGGTTGGAATATATGCCGGGGATATTAAAAGTAAAGAATAATAATAATGGTAGCTAAACCGTTTTTTTTCCTAATAAAGTATCAGATTGATACCTTCTCCTTTTGTCTTGCACCATGAAATTACTACTAAAAAATACAATTAGCATTAATGAAAACCCATTTGCAAGAATCCAATCCATTCTGATAGATATGGCTCAATAATGTCAATCTAAATACGAATATTCATGTGCAAAGGTATAGATGCACAATAACTTAAACCCTTCAAAAAGCCAAGTAAATAATTTATTAATTAGATTATGTAATTAATCATATCCGACACGGTTGAAGTTGGACTTGCCCAATGTTCTGATAAGAAAGTTATTATAATTAATTACTAATTTTAATCTAATATTCATTAACGTGAACCACATTGGTTAATTTTTTATAGCATAGTCTTTCTTTATTCTCCTAATTCAACTGTTAAGTGACGGAAGAAACGTAAAAGGAAGTGCTTACCATAAAAGCATAATTCGATCGTTTGTACTCAAAGAAGAAGACATTGTTTGTGAGGAGCCAAAACATAGTGTTTCTTTACTTTTGAGGACAAAAACACACTTCTCTCCCCATAAAAAAAATCCTCTCAATAAAGGTAAGAAATGTTTTCACTCTATCAATTTGGCAATTTTAGTATCCTTTTGTTAATTTTATTTCTATTTTTTTTATATCAGCTCTTCATTACTTTTTTTCTCTGAAAAATCTGGTTTGCTTTCACAAGTTCTTATTCTTATTCTTCCTTGAGGCCATGACCTTAAAAAAATAACTACTCATGTTGTTTCTGTGATGATGTTCTTAGGTTTTAATAGCTGACAATAAATGATATTGGAATGAAAATTGAAGAATATATTAATATAATTTTTGAACGGATTGCTCTGTCATGCATGATCAAAATTGATAAACAACAACAATTTGTTAATTATAATAAAGACAACAGTGATTATAATACTTACGGTAATTATAACAATAACAATTATAGTAACAGTGGTGATGAATAAATTTGAAAAAACAAATTACATGATACTTAAGATAGTTTAAATGTAATAATTAAGATTTGATAGTTTTATCTTTATGTTTTATTTAATATATCAATTTTTTTAACAAACTTTAATATTTTAAAAAAAGTAACTAATAAATCTAATATTTATCATAATTTAAATTATACATCATAAATTTAAAATATAATTTTAATAATTATTTACTCTATGTTTGTTCACTGTAAGTCTAAATTTTATTTTGTTAAATTTGTTCAATCCTACTCGATTCATTTACATATCTATTTTCATATATTGTAAGTGTGTGATTATGGTTTATCAGACTTATTGTACAAATTGGGATTTTAAGTATGGTACAATTTTGATATTGAATTACGCTGTGTGAATAACATGGTAACTCGTGCATTATATGCAACATATGTTGTTATGATGAATTACTTACATTTCCAGGAATGCAATTTATTGAAATTAAATTAGCAATGTATACGAATTTATTAAAGATTATATTGATGAATATATTAATAAATTAATATTATTACCAAAAGACATCGATGCAAACTAATTAAACATCTGAACATTATGTTCCTATAGTATTTATTAGTGGAGTTTATTAGTACTACTTCAAACTATTTTGAAAGGGAGATTATTCAGAGGTGAGAACCTTGTAGATTTATCTTTATTTGCAAAATTATTAGTTCTAATATGATCTCCTTTCTTAGACTACTTCGAATACTTATTCTTATATTATGTTCTTGATAAAAAAAATCAAACTAATTTATATTTAACGGAAAATTATTAATATTATTACTTTATCTATAGATAACCTTCATAAGTATAAATGCTCTATAATCGTATTCTCAAAACAATATAGATTTTTAAATTTTCAAAATACTAGAAAGAAAAAATAAATCTTAGCAACTTTGCTTTTCTCTTTGCTATTATATGTAGAATATACTAATATTTAATCTTGAATACATAATTTTATCAAAATACGATGGAAAATTGTATATTATTCATCATATTTAAATGGGTATATATAACAAATATATGGTTGTATATTAGGTGCACTATCTATAAATCTATAAGCTTGTAACAGATTCTATTTCGTATTTACATAAATATATGATAACTCAATAAAAAAAATCACATCTTATAATAAAATTCTCATATTTTTACACTAATACAATAATTTTTCTTTAAATCACTTTTGTTAAAAATTATATAAATAATTAATTTTTCCTTGATTTCTTAAGATTCAAAATAATTTTTCACAGTCAATGTCTTTTGGAAGATTCGATTAAATATGTTCAACAAATACACTCAAGTCACTGAAAACATTATTGTTAAAAGTCAACCTTAGCTAATTTTTATGTCACCGTAATTACTTAATTATTTGTATGCATAGAAAGTTGAAATATAAGAATATTTTTTAATTCTCGATATCTTCATTTATATGACCAGATCATCAGTGAATTGAATTTTTTTTTATGATAAATTTCATGTTTAATACTACAGAATATTATCTTAGGTATTTCTCATTACAAGAGTCACAATACTACAATATACCTATACATCACCATACGTATTATATAATATAACATGTATTTAATCATATTATTCAAAATGTATTAATACCATGAAGGTATTTACTTAGTACTTATAACGCAAAATAAAATACATATCACAACATCCTAACAATTATACATACATATTAATTTTATTCGTGTAGATTTTGATTACAAAATATAATTTGAGTGACTAATCTTTGCTTGAGTGAAAATAAATACTTTACCTCTATTCTTTGTTTTTCTAATAAAAAAATATAACTTTAACTGGTTTCGATGTGAAATAGTTCACGAAAACATCATAACACTACATGCATAACTAGTAGAGATTAATATATCAAGTTCATATATATCATATATAGGCAAAACAACCTACGCATGTAACGAGATAGAAAAGAAGAAAAATTGAGATTTAAGATAAAGATAATTTATTCAAATGTAACTAGATAGAAAAGGAGAAAATTTGAGATTTAAAAAAACGATAATTTATTCAAAGACACATGATGTGATAGGTCAGATTGTTTTATCTCAAAATTTTAAGAAAAATAAAAAGAATTCCAAATAAAAAGTTTTAAAATTTCTAAATAAATTTTTAAATAAAAAAATATATAATTTAAATTGTGAAAATGACTTAAAGTTTCATTTATTTTTTCCATGCTTTCCCTTCTATACGTCAACAAAACTCGGTGTTAGAAATTACGTGATAGCTTGTTTATGTTACAAAATATAATAAAACATTATAGTTTCTAGACAATAAAAACATTCATATCAGAGTATATAAAATAATTATCATAATATTTTACAATGCGAATCACCTGCTTATTAGAAATATTAATCTATAAAAAATCTATTTCAAACAACAATTTGATTTAAGTTGGTTTAGAAACAATAATCTTTTGAATTTCGGTACCTCATTTTTCTTATGTTTTTAGTTTTCGAAAAGATATTCTTATGTTTTCTTCTTTTGCTTTGTTTGATTTTATTTTTTTAAATAAACACTCTCCTATAAAACATGGTTATGAAATAAAGATATTCTAATTAATTAAGTTGAAACATCACTATTTATCTATCATATAGAACAAGTATAAAACACACAGAGAAAGAAGAAATAAAAAAACACAGAAAGAACAATATCAAAAGTTATTGAAAAATATCAAAATCATATAATTTGTAACCTCTTGATTTTATTTTATTTTAATAAATTTTTATACTATGACAAATAATTTATAAATATTAAAATGACGTTAGTACGAAATATCAAAGTTTAAATATTGATTTGAAAACTAACAAGAATATGTCGGTGGCATAAAATGGCATACAAGAGCAATTATGTAGGGAACACAATTTCTAAATTATAACTTCAAATTTGTAAAAGAAATAAATTCAAAAGTAAAACCAAATTAATTTAAAATGCGGACTACAGATCAACTGATTGGACTAGAACATACATAATCCCTTCTCAAATTGAATTAGATTGCTATGATAATCTAATGCATTTCTGTTGTGATATCTTATGAAGCCATATATGCCGTGTTATAGTTCTATTCTACGTTGACTTTTTGTACTGAGATTTATTACCACCATTAATACAGAACCTGCTAAATAACTATTCTCTTTACTGCATGCATATAAATGCAGTGTCGCTATCTACCAACCATATGCTTGCGTTTTACCTTTGTCTATATAAGATCCATCTTTTACTTTACACTTTCCATTTCTAAAGATGGAGCAAGAAATGGAGAAGGGAAAGGAAAGTGAAGAAAAATGGGTGCATGATACTTCTGTGGACTATAAAGGAAGAGTTCCTCTCCGTGCTTCCACGGGTGTATGGAAAGCCTCCCTCTTTGTCCTCGGTAAGAACTTTCAAGCTTTTCAAAAACTACTGGCGTGTCCTATAACATTTAGACTTTTACTTTGCCGTATGGAAAATTGTAGAGGCAAACTTAGTAACAAGTTTTCAGCAAGCAGAGTGTTAGCCCACACTGTTTCTGTTATTGTAACAGCCGAATATTTTCAAAGTCTAAGATGCATTCCAAAAGTAGAGAAAACAAAATTTCCTTTTGAACAATTTTAGAGAACTTTCTTCTTTTCTTGGTTCTTGATAGTCTAAAAGAAGCTAATAAAAATGTCTAATATTTGTGTTTGATATTAATGTTATATGATCACTCATGACATAACTTGGTGATTATGCTTAAATTTGGAACAGCAATTGAATTTAGTGAAAGATTGAGCTACTTTGGAATAGCCAACAATCTCATCTCGTACCTTACAAAAGTGATGCATGAAGACCTCAAAACTGCAGCCAAGAATGTAAACTACTGGTCAGGAACGACAACTCTAATGCCTCTGGTGGGGGGATTTATCGCCGATGCTTACACTGGTCGATTTTATATGGTTCTGTTCTCCGCTTTTGTATACCTCATGGTAATATCTCCTTCTCCTAATGTACGGGTTAAAGTAACATCAAACTATATTATATAACTGGTATAAAGCTCATTACATAATTGATTTTTACGAATTGAATTAAATTTAAAGCGTACTTTTAATTATGATATAAGAACTAAACAAAAAGTTGTTTTAACAAGAACTATGAGACTAAGTTAAAATTGAATTCCTTTTACTATACTTTGTAATTTATACTCTTACACCACATATATCAATTTGAACTTCAGGCTGGAATTGTCTTTCTTTTCTTTCCAATTTGTTTATGTAGTTACATTTGTTGATGTGTGAAGCAGGGATTAAGCCTGTTGACGATGTCTCAATTCATCCCAAGTATAAAGGCTTGCAACACTAGTATATGCCAACAACCAAGGAAGGTTCATGAAGTGATTTTCTACCTTTCCCTTTACTGTATCGCCTTAGGCACAGGAGGATACAAACCATGCTTGGAAAGCTTTGGAGCTGACCAATTTGATGACGATCACTTGGAAGAAAGGAAGCAGAAGATGTCTTTCTTCAACTGGTGGTTCTTTGGACTGTGCTTTGCATTGCTACTTGGTGCAACAGTGATTGTTTATGTTCAAGACTTTGTCAGCTGGGGAGTTGCTTGCCTAGCCATTGCTATTATTATGGCTATCACTATCATAGCTTTCTGTATGGGAAAATCATTTTACAGGTACAGAAGGCCAGAAGGAAACCCTTTAACACCAATTTTACAAGTCTTAGTTGCATCAGTAAGGAAAAGAAATTTGTCTTGTCCTTCAAATCCTGCTTTATTGTATGAGGTCCCAGAGTCAGAAAGATCCCAAGGAAGGCTTCTAAAACACACTAGCAGGCTCAGGTATTTATCACACATGGACTTTGCAGATTCATATTAGATAATGTATATTTATTCATGGAAGTTAACGCAGATCAATTCAATGAATAGGTTTCTTGACAAGGCTGCAATAATTGAGGAGAAAAATGGTGAGCGGAAGGAGAGTCCATGGAGATTAGCAACAGTGACAAAAGTCGAAGAAACAAAACTCGTTCTAAATTTAGTTCCCATATGGTTAACATCATTGACAGTTGGAGTATGTGTGGCTCAAGGCACAACATTGTTTGTGAAACAAGCAGCTGTTACGAACCTAAAGATAAGTAAGAACTTCAAAATCCCAGCAGCTTCCATGGCCTCTGTTTCAGCGGCTGGCACCATAATTGCTGTCCCAATATATGATAGGATTATCGTTCCAATTCTGAGGAAAGTGACTGGTAACGAAAGAGGCATCAGCATCCTTAAGAGGATCAGCATCGGCATGACATTATCTGTTATGCTCATGGTTGTTGCAGCCTTAGTAGAAGCAAAGAGACTAAGAATGTATACTAACCACCATACAATGAGCGTTTTTTGGTTGATACCCCAATACTTAATCCTTGGGGTTGGAGATTCATTTTGCCTAGTGGGTTTGCAAGAGTACTTCTATGACGAAGTTCCTGACTCAATGAGAAGCTTAGGAATGGCTTTGTATCTGAGTGTGCTTGGAGTAGGATTCTTCTTAAGCAGTTTTCTAATAATCATGGTGGACCATCTGACAGGGAAGAATGGTAAGAGTTGGATAGGGAAGGACATAAATTCAAGTCGTCTAGATAGGTTTTATTGGATGTTGGCTATCATAAACGCTTTTGTTTTGTGTTTGTTCATCTTGGTCACAAAAAGGTACACTTACAAAGCTGTACAGAGGAGAGGCATGGACACCGATTGTCATAAGATTGATGAGGTGGAGATGGTGGGTTGATGAGAGTATTAAGGGTTCAACCATCCCGCTACACATCTTCAGCTGAACCAAATCTTTAATGTATTGTTTTCAATTATATTTACTGGCTTTGAATTTGTTAAGCTATTGTAAAGAATGTAATTTTACAGTCGTTCAACGTCTTGATTCTAAGTTTTTATGTTCACCATCATTCATCATATTTTCATCTTAAAAGTTAGTTCATATAACAGTGTCAAAATAATAAATATGTAATTAGTGCGTAACTTATCATCTTACCTAGATTTTTATTTATAATTTTTCTAATGAACTTTTGATTCAAGTAAGACTAATTATAATTTAATCACTTAAATATTAATTATTAGTCTAATCAAATTTCCTTAGCTAGCTTAAGTCAATGGTATAATCATTCAATTTTTTATTAAAATAACAAGTTTGGATTTAATAGACAGGTTACTTTGAGTGGCTAACCAATTTCTTGATTGTCCGTTCATATTGTACAAATATATTAAAACAAATTTATTACTATTAATTAAATTGATTAAAATAATATAATAGATTAATAAATAATAATTATTGTTTCAAATGGTGGGGTCTTAAACTAAATTCGAAGTTGGAAATGGTTGAAGAGTATTGTAGCAGAGTGAGTGTGATGTATAGGAGATTGATCGATCATTGTGACAAACTGAATGGGTTACTGAGGAGATCGATCGAGCTATTGGGAAGTTCGATTACATTTTGTTTCATTCATCCAAAACATGTGGAAAGATACTTGACACTTCTATACATAAGTCAATAGGTGACTGTTCAAATAGCTAAAAATTACTGCTGATAATTTGACCATGTTTGGTGAGTACAGTGATCGAAATAATTGTATCCTTTAATAAAAATTACATTTATTATGTTTTTTATATTTACTATCACGTAGTACAATAAAAAATTTGAAAAAATACTAACTGAATTTTGAAATTCAGAAAAATTAAATATCCAATTTTGAAATTCAGAATAATTGTTTGCATCATATCAAAATTTGGTGTTTCGTAAATGAATTTTGAAATTTGGTCATTTCTTTAATTATATTTTGAAATTTAGTAATTTTTTTAATTATCACTTCATTAATTAAATTTCAAAATTCAATAATTTTAATTGAATTTTGAAATTTAGTAACTTTCTTAACTAAAATTTGAAATTTAGTAAACTCTTTGATTAAGTTTCAAAATCGGATAACTTTGTCATAACCAAATTTTGAAATTTAATTTATTTATAAATTCGATTGAGCACGCTAGATTTTGAGTTAAAGGTGAAAGTGCATAGAGAAGCCCCTTGAGAAAATTTGGACTTTTGAGGGACATCGCGGTGGAGATGATAACAACATAGGCCCACTTTCATTATGACCTTTTATCTTTTCAAGACTGCACTTTTATAGCTTTGCCTCTTTGTATTTCAGGAATAACACATTTGTTATGAGATATATTATAAGGTGGAATAACTTCTCCTATGTCCCAAAACATATTATATATATATATATATATATATATATATATATATATATATATATATATATATATATATTTACACTATCAAACTAAGTTATTATTTTTTAATCTAAATTATTTTTATTACAAATTATTCACTTTAATAGTAATTACTTTTTTTTTAATTAATTGACAATCTAAAAACTTTTAGACTCTCGTTATTTGAGATAAAATTTTGGGTTAAATATGATTTTAGTCCCTAAACTATTGGCCGTTTCTGGTTTTCGTCCCTCTTTCAAAATAAGGTACAATTTGGTCCTCATTCTTTTCGAAACTTTGGTTTTAGTCCTCGAAAACTAACACCGTTAAAAATGTGCTTACGTGACTAACGGTAAACTGACACACGATTTTTTTTTCAAGTGTTTCTCGCTTTTTCTCCCCTTCTCTCTCTTCCTTCCATCTTCCACCCAACTTCATCCCTGGTTACATGTTTTTGAGACAGCCAATGAGACAGCCAATATTCAAAACCGGTACACAAACAAGCATAATAAAATTAAAACCAATGAGACAGCCAATATTAAAAAAACAAAGTTCTTTATACAACAATATTAAAACATTGAAATCAATGTGCATCAGAAACCCGGTTCTGCATCAACAAAGATGTCTTGAAGGGGAATCCGAGTAACTTGTCAGAAGCACTTGTTCCAATTGGAAAGACTATTCAAATAAAATTTTAATACAGGAAGAAAATAGTAAGATAACAAAATGTAAAGGTGTAGAAACAAGAAAAATATATACACGCAAAGCTAGTGTTTGCCAACCAAACAGAAGAGTGAATGAATTGAAAGCAATAAACAAATCACATGGCACAAGGATTGAAGTAAATCACAGTTTTGCAAAACTAGTAAGGTGAGGCAGAAGACATTCTCAAGAATGATTAAGCTATTTAAACCACACCTGATCAGGCTGGGCAACATCAGAAAATATGACATCAACCATACCAACTAACATCCTGTACTTAGCGGGATGTCTGGCATCTTCAATAATGGGTATAACATTAGTACGCTTCTTTGCCATATTGACCAAATCACGTCCACTTCTATGAGAAAATTCAACTGCATAGACAACTCCTGTCTGTATACAAAGAATATAATCAGCCCTTCTATTTTTTTTCCACAAAACTAATATTGTGTAATTCAGAATATACTTATTGTGAAGAGCTCCATTTTATGACAAGTACTTAAACAACCTTTTACTGCAATGCCAATGATGCAGTAAAGCATTGATATGGCTGTCTCAAAAAGATGTAACCAGGGATGAAGTTGGGTGGAAGATGGAAGGAAGAGAGAGAAGGGGAGAAAAAGCGAGAAACACTTGAAAAAAAAATCGTGTGTCAGTTTACTGTTAGTCACGTTAGCACATTTTTAATGGTGTTAGTTTTCGAGGACTAAAACCAAAGTTTCGAAAAGAATGAGGACCAAATTGTACCTTATTTTGAAAGAGAGACGAAAACCAAAAACGGCCATAGTTTAGGAACTAAAAACATATTTAACCTTAAAATTTTAGAGAAAGCAGTCATTGAGCATGAAATATACTCTTCCCGGCTATTCACTTATGTAGAAGTGGGTGTTTTATTGTTTGCCTATAATAAATATTTGAACGAATATTGTTTCTATAAAATTAAATGTAATTACTTTTTTCTTGAAATGTTTTTTCAAAAAAAATGTATTTTAGTTTTAAATAAATTATTCATTTTAGGTCCTCAGATTTAAAAAAGTATATGTTTTTAATTAGCCTTTAATTCAAAACTACAAAATTTATTACTTTACTTATCAATGATCGACTGAAAGTATATTAGGTTGTTAAATGTATGAATTATAAAAATAGTAACTTTTTATCGACATTGAAATAAAAATGTCACATTTCTAAATATCAATGGATATTTAAACAATAATTTTTAATTAGTGAAAACTGAATTAACAATAATTTACAATACTAATTATGGAAAAGTCTAACAGATAATTTTTAATAGTGCCTTTATTTTAATTAATTTTTTCATTTCTAAAATTCAAATCCAAAATTCTTAATGAGGTGCTGTTTTTGCCACTCTGCAAACAGTTATGTGACATTAATTTTATATATTTATGAATGGGTTAATTATGTTTTTTTTTAATTTTTTTATCTAGGTTTCTCTTCTTTTATAAAGTTATGAATTTAATTTTTCATGATAAATGTTATTAGTTTTTTTTTTTTTACATAACAAATGATTTATGTTTAATATAGATATATTGTGTCTTCAAGTAGGTAAAATAACTCGATAACAAACGTGTGTTATGTTTTAATTCGATAAGATAGATAAAACATGTGTATTGTATTTTCAAATTGATAAGATATCCGGATAGTTTGATGTGAAGTCCAGATAACCTAATAAAATGTATAAAAAAATCAGATAGTTTCGTTAAAAATTCGAATAGCTTGATAAAGTACATGAAAAATTTAAATAAGTTATTCATATAACTTGATGACACTCCATATAGCTCGAAATAACTTGAATAGCACTTTATCGAACTATCTAGACTTTTCACCAAACTATTTGAATTTTCATGCACTTTATCAAACCATCATAATACCTTACCTAACTTTCCACGTATTGTCGACCTTATAATCTTTATTGTGTTCTCCTACCCTTCTTTTCTACATAATGTCATTAAAGTGAATATACTCTAGTCAAATAAACAATTACACTCCAAACTTGTAGAAGAAGAATTTTAGCCAGTGGAGTATATAGACAACTTAAAAGCTCACAAGTATGTTCTATTCCATCAATATTGTATTCCACGAATAATAATATGTGGAACCAAGTAGCAAAGATGAGCACAAAATGTTGTTCCATGATTCCTCTGTTTGCTTTCCACATGTGTATGGAAAGCTTGNCACGAATAATAATATGTGGAACCAAGTAGCAAAGATGAGCACAAAATGTTGTTCCATGATTCCTCTGTTTGCTTTCCACATGTGTATGGAAAGCTTGCCTTTTTGTCCTTGCTAAACTACCTATTTACTTAACTAATTAATACTATCATTTTATTTTATCAATTTCATTTATCCTTCATCATCAGTCTCATTAAATTCAGATGTGTTTAAGCATATCACATAGCAATTAAGAACTGTGGGTGATTAGATTATTATTGTACAGTATATGGGTGGGTTTGGATCGATTTTAAGTCCACTAATCATCAATTCATTAAGTACCATATACATCAGTTCAACTTCAATCGGAAATTTATTAATACATTATCACCGACATTTTACTTTCTATGACTCTCTAAATATTGAAACTTTTTTTTCAAAGATAAACATGAAAAGCATAGGAAAAACAAAGTATATATCATTTTATTATGTTTGTTAGTTACATAGGAAGAAAATAAAAAATATACGTGAAACACAAAAAAAGAAAAAAAAACATAAAACTTACATGAAAATGATAACGTTTGCACATTAAAAAAAATGTTTTAGAGTTTCAAATTTTATTATACTCTTTCGCTTTGAATTTTGAAACTTCGTCTATGATTTTGATGTAAAAGTGTTATTTTATCGGTGTGTTAGATAAGTAATGAGTAAAAGATGAGGTGTTTGTGTACCATTGTCCTTCTAAACAATACTCCCAGATGCTAAATAAGAAAAACAGATTACGTACACTAAGAATTAAATCCC